ATATATATATATCTTTGATAATAGACTTCAACTCTAACTTAACAAATTAAGCCTCCACTACAATATTCGCTGAATCACCCAATAATCAGCCACCAAGAAACCAGCATATTGACAGTCCACAACTTGTAACGTGGAAATGGATCCCTAGCTATAACATCACATAATACATTCATTATTCTATAGAGAATCTTGTTTATTATCTGATCTAGTTTCTAGTGCAGCAATCAAACAACAAAAATTTAAAAAGGTCACTTTATTAGAAATTATACTAACTTGCTGATCACTTTTTACCTTGGTTGTCTTGATAAAGGCAAACGCAGTGTTTATAATCCTGTCTGGTTTCATCACACTTAGACAGGGTGGTTCTAGATATATAATACTACCGGTTCCTTGCAAAATCAAGTTTATGGTTTGGCTCAGTGGTATGGAACCCTTGTCTCAAACAAGTGCTATTCCACAGCAAAACAGGATTAGCAAACTTCAACTCTCATCCCTACCACTAACATGAGAAGGATAGCAGATTTATGAGACCCAAAATGCAAATTTTCTACGTACCTCACTAAACTTCCACAACAATGATTATCAACATTTCAAATTATTCCCTTCCAATTTATTAAATAAGAACGGTAAACAAATTACCCTTTATCATAAATTTCACTACCAAAATTTAGTACTCCTATTCCATAGAAAACAGGATCAGTTCTCCTCTCTTCTAATCCCTTTGGTTTGTAGAATATAATATGATGATAAAATCGAAAAGGTAAGCTTTATGCAACCCAAAGGACAAAATTCCACAACAATGATCAACAACATTGCAAACGTCTCAAATTATTCCATCCCATTCTGATAAATAACCACAGTAATTGCAACAAAATTCAGTACTCCCAAGCAACAAAAAGAATTCATCTTGCCATCCAAAATTTGTAAACAAGTACCAAATAGCCAACAAGACATAAACTTTTTTATCAATAGAATAACCTAAGAGGTCTTTCTCCTGAGACGCTTCCTAAGCTTTTTGTATTTATGCTTATTCATCTTCTTCTTCCTCTTCTTCTTCACACTATCAGCCCACAAAGTCCTCGAATCATCAACATCATCCTCAATGGCCTTCACTTGATCAAACCCAGTTGCTGAAATAGGGTTTAAGCAAAACCCAAAAGGGAAATTTGGGTAATAAAAGTGCAAGGGTTTAGCATCCTGTGTGGGTATATGATTTAAGAGAGGTATTGAGTTATTTGAGAAATCTAGTTTTGTTGTGTTGGAAAGGAGAGTGAGTGTTGTTGGGTTGTTGGGGTTAGAGAGTTGTGGGGTTTCGAGGGTTGTGCTAATGATTCTTATCGAAGGTATCGTTGGTGCGGCCTTTTTGACTAGCTTGTGGATTATATTGGCCATTTTCAGATCTTCTCTACATGAAAGAAGTGATTTTTATAAAAATTATAAAAAAAGAAGAAAAAAAACACAGAAAAATTTGAGAACAAGGACTGTTTTTGGTTGCTTCAGCAAAAGGATTGCCAATAAGCTGAAAAAGAAAAGGAAAAACCCTGAAAAGAAAACTGGAAGGAGACAGTGTCGTATACTTACAGAGTTTCTCATGACACGTCGTTTAGAACTGAGCGAAAAGCATTTTTTTATGAAAATGCCCTCACGCAGGATCGAACTACGGACCTTCAGTTTACAAGACTGACGCTCTACCACTGAGCTATAAGGACTTACTGAAGAAATTGCAATGTGTTTCAAATAAACTTAACGTTAAATGGACATCATCATAGTTTGCGCCTTGCGGGGAGCTAAATGAAGAGAAAATCAAAATACGGAATCCCAAAAGCAGGAGGGAACGGCTTCGAAATTTCGAATGGAGGAAGTGACTTTCGATCCAGTATGCTTCTTTCTTTCTTTCTTGAATAACGATCTTGTTCAAATATTTATCTCAGTTTATATAATATACATTTAATTGTTTATGTTAATTTGCTGTGTTTTTGGCATAATTATTTAGGGTTTGATTCAAGCTATTTTCAAGCACGTCTGGACCCGAAGATCCCTTGGTTTGCATTTTTATTTGTATCATTTTGTTTCTTCTTCTGCTTGGATTTCAGTTAATCCAATAATAATATATGAATATTAATGCCTCTTTCAGAGCGCGAGAAAAACGAAGGCAATGACGGTACCGATTGTGAGGTAATTAACTATGGTGATCTCTTTTTCCTGTTGTGTTTCAAATTTGCAAGTTTATGCGGACTATATTATTAATGCTGCAGGTCGGAGCTGGAACATCGAAGAAGACTCGAACCACTTCTGGTATTTCATTCATAAAATTCCTCCATTCGTCTCTTTTATTTTGTTATTATGTGCAAAATGTGATTGCTGTTTTTCTATTTGTGTTTTTTTTTTTATGCAGCTAATTCGAATGCCCTAAAATTGAGTTGCGAGCTTCTCCGAATTTTTATCACAGGTTTTGATTTTGATCCTTAAATGTTTGGATTCTTGTTCTGTTCTTTTACTGTAAACCATCGTTATTATAGAGTTGGTATGGTACTAAATATACGCAGAGGCAGTGCAGCGTTCTGCTACAATTGCTGAAGCGGAGGGAGTCAGTAAGATTGAAGGGACTCACTTGGAGAGGATTCTTCCTCAGTTGCTTCTGGATTTTTGAGATATTTAGACAGCAGACATGAGTATGGTTTCGGTTTCTTATTCTTTCTTTTCTTTTATTTTATTTTATTTTCTCTGATGCAATCCAAACTGTTCAAAATGTATGGATTTGTGTATTTAAACGGCAGAGCATTTTTTCATTGTTAGGTAGAATCATTGACTTGAAGATCATTTGTTTGTATTTCTGTCTTATTTGATTTGTATAAGTCAATAGAGTTTACAATTTGATGCACACTGTTTCTGTTGCTTTTCCCGAGCTTGGTGCAGCAAAATTAAGTCATTGAATGTGGCTCGTGATTGTTTTTCATACGGTAGACATGTTCTTGTCCAACTGTTTTAAGATGATTTCTTTTCTGTGGCTTTATTGTAAGCGTAAATGCATTGGTTCTTTGGAAATAATTTAATCTATTTGGAATATAAAAAATAAAGCAATTACTGAAAGAATGGTGCTACTTTCAGGGTTCAAGTTCAAATACACTTCTTGTTCGATAGTGCTATATATAAAGGGAAGGAAATATTGTTCCGCGTTTCTTCCATTTTGTTTCTAAGTTGGCTGGCTGATGTATCGACTGCCAGTTTATCAATTTGCACGACCCTTAGTGTGTAAAAAGGGCTATAGCCATAGGGATTTCTTTGTTTGATAGTGATGTTACTTCTGATGTCTGGAAAAACTTATGGCCACTGTAGTTCTGAATATTTTTCCCCTATCAGATGTTGCTTGCAAAATGTTACTTTACAACTGTTAGGTCTGACAATTAAAACCATGTAGGATCCTAAGGGAGGAATTAACAGCTTTCCATGTGCTTCGTGTTTGACAAGCTGAAAAACATGGAAAACGTTTAACCCCTCCAGCGTTTGCTTGGTGTGGAAAAGATTTCTTGCATCGCTTCTCTTGACATGTTAGAGGACAATTATTATGCTGTCATGGAAGTGCTTTTTTTAAAAAAAATTTTATGTTGGTGACAGGATGAAATGATTAGAAGTAGAAATAAACTTTTGGACTTTATTGGTTACTTTAGAGGAAACGCTTTCATTTTTCCCATCAATGAAGTAGTGGAAGGCGTTGTCATGTTTCCTGCATTCTTAAAATGTATTGGTTTGATCTTGTTAGCAAAACCCTACCTTCTTCAAAGTGCTTATTGCAAGAAAATTATGATTGCAAGTTGAAAAGGCTTGGCATTACCACCGTGCAGTTTTTTTTTTACCATCTTAGGATTTATTTATGCACTCCATTTTATGCAGGGCTTGTTTAGCATATTGGTTGCACTTCGTGCAGATGTTTCTTTTATACAGTTAACCCAAAATCTTTAGCTGTTTTTGGAGCACGATGTGGAACTGTTTATTTGCAAGCCAGTTCTTTGTCAAAATGTTTGCTATTTGTTCCATGTATGATTTCTAGCACTGGAGCTAGAATCCTCCTGATGCTCTTAGAAATGAATTCTTTGTATGAAAACATGACCTCAAATAAATTGATTTGCGTAGATATGGCTTCTGTTTTGGCTCAAATGATGAAAATGAGTTCTTTATCAAGTATGGAGCCATAACTAAAAGAACGCTTAATCTAGTACCATTCTTCCCTGCAAAGCAGAGAAGAGAAAGATTTGGGTTCCAGTCTCGTCCTTGCTACCTCCTGAATCCACACAGACCCATTGCATGCTATACAAATGAGAAAATCCCATTCGTAATCAAGATCTATACATTTTTCCTTTCTTTCACGTGTCGTAATTTCATAATTAGGGTTTACCACCATTTTTTTCCCCTAGTGCTCTGCTTTGTGTGTATAGATTATACCCTTCCCCTGTTTCTCTATTATCACAGCAAACTCCCTGATCGTCAAGGGTATCTATGCATGCCAAACACTTTTTCTCCGTATGGTAAAGAGAATTGACTGTGCAGCCTCCTCCTTCCAACCCCCCACCAGCTTATGTAGTCCAAAACAGAAACATTAGGGGAGAAAAGGGGATAGGATTTGTACCAAACTTTGATTTAAACATGGACCAACAATAGGTTAAACTAGCTAGCGAGAGCTTTTCATTTATGTTATATGCAATTCAGGTTGAACGCACTCAAATTATGAGTTTAGACAAATAATAAGATAGAAAAGCATTTTACAGGCCATTTCCTTTGCTATAAACTTGATGGTAATCTTTAATTCAAATTTCAAAGCTATAACTGAAAAACTTCAGCATGTAGCCTTCTTTCATGCACTACAACTCTTGGTTTCTTACACATCCTTGACAAATAACACTGACACAAATTTGAAAGATATAATTAAACAACTTTAGCAAGTAACCCTTCTTCCATGCTTAATGATTCCTAGTTTCTCACACATCCTTGCCTTCTATGCTAATCTAGTGTTTGATTTGTGACAACATGCACCTGACATCCTTACTGTTAGGCCTCTGTTTTGGGTCATCCATGGTGCAGAAGCAAGCAATTTTCAGAACCAGCAGCATTTGCTCCTCTAGCCCATTTCCCATCAGTTTTGGATCGATAGCTTGACTTGGATTTTCCGATGTCATAATATTTCTCATCCACTTAACCAAGCTCAATTCACGAGTATTCTGAAAAAACTCGTCAGATGGAATCTTTCCCATCACCAATACCCCAAGCACCACACCAAAACTGTATATGTCACACTTGTCTGTAAATTTGATTGTTTGGTGGTACTCTGGTGCGATGTATCCCACTGTTCCAGCAACATTAGAAGTTGTGATATGTGTTTTATAATCCGGCATTGCTTTTGCAAGTCCAAAATCGGCAATTCTAGCTTCCATGTTGTCGTCGAGAAGTACATTTGCGGGCTTGAGATCTCTATGAATGATCCGATCATTATGGTTCATGTGAAGGTACTCAAGTCCCGATGCTACTCCTACTGCAATTTTGTGGCGAGTTAACCAGTCCAACTCTCTTCTCCCTTCGTTAGCATCGTTCAACAAATCTTGAAGACTCCCGTTTTTCATGAATTCGTAGACAAGATAATGACAATCAGGACGAGACACGTGAGCTAGAAGAGGAAGAAGGTTTCGATGCCGAATGCGGCCGACGGTATTGATCTCTGATTGAATTTGTCTCATTTTCTTGTTTAAAAGTCTGCTATCTTCTTCAGTCAACTCGGCAGCATCCTTTGGCGGCTGAATTATCTTTTTTATGGCAATCATTTTTCCGTTACTTCCTGGCAACTCGGCTTTGTACACTTCTCCACATCCACCTCTCCCAATGATTTCCAAGTTTGCAACCCCATCATCTTTTTCCAAGAAAGCCAAATCCTCTGCTTTCTTTATCAATGGACTAAAGATTGCAGGGCCTCCATCTCTCCCTCCACCTTTTACTGCTGACAATACCATCTTAAACAATAATGAGAACACAAACCCAGATAAACTCCCAGCTACAGACCCGGCAAGAAATCCAAGGAGCCACCCGGCAAGCTTCCTTGTGCTCTTCTTTTTGGCTTGTGTGCTGCTGGTGATGATGGTCCAGGTGCTGGAGCAAGGTTAGAACTTCTGCTTTGGGAAGTATTCCTTGATCTTGTACTTGTTAGATTCTCCTTCAAAATGTAACGATTTGGGTATTGGGGCCTTGAAGATTCACCTTTGCTTATCACTGGCACAGGTCCTTCAAGAAAACTGTTTCCTGAGAAGTCGAAGAACTGGAGATTGCGAAATGAACGTCTAGACTTTGGAACTTTTCCAGTGAAAAGATTATTAGCAAGAGAGAGGTTTTCCAGGTTTGGAAAATGCTTTAAGAAACTCAAATTCCCAGAAAACTCATTGCTAGAGAGATCAAGAACTCGAAGACGAACAAGTGATGATAATTCAGAGGGAACTTCACCTGAAAACTCGTTGTTTCCAAGCTCAAGAATCTCTAGTTTCTTGCAGTTGACTATTTGGGCAGGGAGCTGGTCAACCAGTTGGTTGCTGGTTAATGAAAGTTCTTTGAGCTCGGACAGCCGTCCAATTGCCGGAGACAGGAGCCCGGTTAGCCGTTGAGATTTAAAGATGATTCTTGTGATTTTGAGCACAAAGGTACTGTTGGGAGAGAGTCTCCTCTCACAAAACACACCAGGGGTGTTGCATGGTGTAGAGGAGGAGCTGCGTTGACCGCTGATGCCCAAGTCTTTTTGGATGGTTGAGAAGGCTTTGAAGTCTGAATGATCAAGGTTTAATCTTGCATCAGTGAGAAGGAGGAGAGATAGGAGAATGAGGATGGAAAGGTCGTGTTTGTTGGGAAGGACGGCCATTTTTTTGGTGTTTTCAGGCTGAGAAACGGTGGTGGGTTGGGGGATTTCACGATGTCGCAATATTGTTTGAAATTTCCATATGTAGGTTGTTCTTTTTTATAAGGACACGCCGTGTGGAAAAACTGGGGCGGTAGGGTCCACGACATTTGATTTTTGTGCCTCTTTCTGACTGGAATTTTGCTAAACTTGTTTACGTATTTTATTGATTCTGAATATCCTAGTAATTAAAATGGAATTTGAAATTTGGTCATTTAGAGATGCTTATGAAACTACTAACTAAAACCTTTTAACCTACGACTCATTAACAAACTAGTCTAACTTCGACAGGAAAAAAAAAGATCAATAGACAAGCCTAAGATTATTAGAAACTTTGTGACCAAGCAAATTAGGAGCATCTTGTCATTAAGACCTTTCCGGTTCTCTTTTTGTGATTTTGTCCTTTTTAACAAAAGACACATATATGTATTTTTGATTTGAGGGTAGCTTTTACCATTATAAGAAAACCGAAAAATAGTGTTCAAAACCAATAACGAATTATGATCTCTCACTAAATAACGATGGATTAATAAACAAATTGTGATTGTTGTTAATGTGTGGACATCGATTACGAAACATTGACGGATTTTCAATAAGGGATAGGTATCCGTCACTAAATTTGGGATAAAATATTCACTAGTATTTCAAAAACGGTTTAGCAAAAGAATTGTGAGGGATATCAATGACGAAATCTTTAGTCCCTCGGTATTTTGTGGTTTCGGGATTAGCGATGAAAATTTTATCTATTTCCATATTTTCCTAGTAAATTAGTGATGGACTAATATTAAAAAAATGAGTGGACTTTGGTAATTCAAATTCTGCTAAATCAAAGACGAATAAGCAAGAGACACTTATATTTGTCGTTGATTTGAGATAGATTAGAGACCAAATCACGTCTATTGTTAAATCTCTAAATCATAGTTTTCCTTCTTCTATTTTCTTCTTTCTCTCCTTTTCCTCCTTTAGACGCTTTTGTTGATCCCACTCGAAACCACCACAAACCTCGCTTCTCCACTCCCCAACAACCACCACCCACTCCAAACTCTTTTCTCCCTAAAAAGTTTTGAATTTCCTCCTTCCTCTCCATCTCTTCCCTTTGTTCGAATGTATGTTTTTTCTCTCTCCTCTCTCTCTTGTTTCCAAAAAAAATTGTTATTTTTCATAATTATTGGGTTAATTTTAATTAATTGATTGAATTTTAATTTTATTTATATTTAATTGTTAATTGGTTAGGTTGATTTGTTAATTAATTGGTATTTAAATTAATTAGGTTAATTTGTTAATGAGTGTTAAATTAATTAGGTTAATTAGGTTTGAATTAGGTTTAATTTACTTAGGTTACTTTGAATTAGAGTTAAATTAATTAAGTTAATTTGAATTACGGTTAAAATGATTAGGTTAATTTTTTAATTAATTGGTATTTAAATTAACTAAGTTGATTTGCTAATAAGGGTTAAATTAATTCGGTTAATTAGATTTTAGTTATGGTTAATTTACTTAGGTTAATTTGAATTAGAGTTAAATTAGTTCGGTTAATTTGTTATTGATTGGTATTTAAATTAATTGGGTTAATTTGTTAATTAGGGTTAAATTAATTAGATTAATTAGGTTTCAACTAGGGTTAATTTACTTAGGTTAATTTGAAATTAAAATTAAATTAATTAGGTTAATTGGAACTAGAGTTAAATTGGTTAGGCTAATTTGTTAATTAATTGGTACTTAAATTAATTGGGTTAATTTGTTAATTAGGTTTGAATTAGGATTAATTTACTTAGCTTAGCTTAATTTGAATTATAGTTAAATTAATTAGGTTAATTTATTAATTAATTTTTATTTAAATTTAATTAGGTTTGAATTAGGGTTGATTTACTTAGGTTAATTTGAATTAGAGTTAAATTAATTAGGTTAATTTTTATTAATTGGTTGATTTTTAATTTTATTTATATTAAAAATTAAAAATTATTTGTTATTTTTAAATTTAATTAGGTTTAAATTAGATTTAATTAAGTTTATTTGATTTAGGTTTAAATTTAATTAGGTTTGAATTATATGTAATTAAGTTAATTTGATTTCTGTTTAAATTAATTATGTTAATTTTTTCATTTCTAATTTTATTTATATTGTAATTTACTAATTATTGATTATTTAATTAGGTTTGAATTAGGGTTAATTTAATTATTTTATTGATGATTTGTTGCATTGTGTTAAGATATGTCGTAGCGTATCGAATCCGAAGGGTCGGACACCCTCGAAAATTAAGGAGAAATAAGGTTGGTTAAATGCTCTGCAAAGGAGTCGGGAGGAAAAATTTGAAATTTAATTTCACTCGGAGTATTTGAGGCAAGCATGATGTGCGCAAATTGATTATTAGTTGATGTTTGTGTTAACTTGGTTAATTGAAAATATTTACTCGTATTGTGTATTTTAAATGTAGTTTTTTATGATCACTTGGAGTATGTGGTAATTAGAAATATCCAATTTACTAGAGAGACTATGTCGAATTTTATTTGTTTTTTTATGAAAAAAATTTATAATATATTTTTATTCGAGTTGTTATTCATTTATTGTATTTGTTAAACTATTTCAAGTGTTATTTCGCAGCTATGCCTCATGGATTGGATAGATCCGATTATGGTGACATTGGTTGTGGCTTTGACAACTACAATGTTTGTGGTCGTGGCACCGACACTATTAGTGTCTTTGATTGTGCCACTAATAGTAGCGTTGTACGTGATTATGGCATTGCTAGTAGGGGTGTGCAAATAGTTTGGTTAATCGAAACCAAATCAAACGAACCGTATTAAGGTATTTGGTTCGATTTTGAATTTAAAATTTACTATTTATAAACGAATCGAAAAACCAAAATTTATTTCGGTTCGGTTCGGTTTTTTAAAAAAAATTTTGGTTCAAATCGAAAACCAAAATTAATTCTTTATTTCTATTTCGAATTCGATTTCGTGGTTTTACTATTTCTCTTCTCATTTCCAATTCCAAATAACCAAAATTGACAAATCCCTAACCCTAAGTCCCTCGCTATCGGTACGTCGTCGCCTCGCTACCGCTGCATGGGCCCTAAGTCCCTCGCCGCTGCTGCTCGCTCGCCTCGGCCATCTAGGCGTTCTCTGTCGGTCTCTCTCACTCTCGCATTTGAAAGGTACTATTATACTCGGTTGTTTGGAGTTGGAAAGACTAAAGAGCTCTCTCGTTGTAATGTTATGGGCATATTCTAAATTCTCTATAATATCTTTGTTGTAATGTTGTGGGCATATTCTCTATAATGTCTCTATTGTAAACTTGTAATGTTGTAATGTTTGGAGTTGAAAGAAGTTATGGTCAACCTTTTCCCGTGGCTACTCGGTTAGTGAATTGAGTAATTCAAAGACTTATGTAAAGTTATATAACTTGTATTTGTTAGAATATATACAAATGATCGAAGTGAGCAATGGCCTATTAGCTATTGGCGATAGGCGATGAGCCTACCGACACTACTCACTTGTATATATTCTAGCAAATACAAGTTATACAACTTTACATAAGTCCTTGAAATTATTGAAATGAATTCAAATGGAAGAAAAAAATCGTTGATAAATGAATTCCAATGTGTTGACCATTACTTACCAAATCTTGCTCTACAATCTGGTTTGCTCTTGTAGTCCAAATAATCCCATACCATGTTGTATCTAGAATAATAGTAATTAGTAAAACAAAAAGACTTGTACAAACTAGGGAAGTAAGATCGTTCCCAACAGATCCAAGGATCGTTATATTTCTCGAAACAAACGAAAAGGAAACGAAAGATGAAACATAAATCATGGATCAATTAAGCCCTCTCGAAGACTTACTTAAGAATAAGAAAGAGGTAAATACTATAGAAATATGGAATAAGGTTTGATCCTATTTATGGGGATTCCGTAAATATTCCATTCCAAAAAAAAAAAAGAGAAAGTTTGAAACAATTGGGATTTTTTTGGAGATTGGATGCAATTACTAATTCATGATCCGGCATGTATAGAATGAAATATTCATTCTCAATTCTACGAGAATTTTTATGAAAGCCTACCGCTCTGTAGCCGTAGGCCTATTGCCTTGATGCCTCCCGGCTAGCTAGATTGTTTTTTTTTTTTGGCTTAAGCTTAAGGACTAAAGAGTGTGAACTGTGAAGCTTAATACTCTTTTTTATATGTTTGTATGTAGATGTCGTAATCTCAATCCATAGAGATGAATTATGAAACTCGTAGATTCAAGCAATCCTAATCCACAATCAAGTGCAACTCCAAGTAACACTCAAGACGGTGGTAAAGGAAAGAAGAGGAAATCAATGAAGCCAAGATTGATGGTGTGGGATCATTTCACAAAGTTTGAAGATGACAAGAAAAACATAAAGGCTAAATATAACTATTGTGATAAGGTATTTGCTTGTGATCCTTCAAAAATGGGACAACTTCACTTAGGTCTCATGGTTTGACTTGTAAAAAAACCCTTTTAGTTGTATTGACTCTACCCAAACTCAATTAGACATAAGAAGCTTGAAGCGGGAGAAAACAATCTTACCACATGGAAGTTTGATCAAAATGTTAGTAGAAAAGATTTAGCTGAAATGATCATTCTAGATGAGCTTCCATTTAAGCATATAGAGGGTAGGGGATTCAAAACGTTTTTGTCTAATTTGCAACCTAGATTCAAGCTTCCATCTCGTTTTACAATTTCAAGAGATTTCTATCAAATTTATTTAGATGAGAAAATAAAGTTGAAGCAATTTTTGAAACAAAATAGTCAAAGAATTAACCTTACTACGGACACATAGACATCTATTCAAAGAATCAATTACATGTATTTAACGGCTCATTTTATTGATAATGATTGGAAGTTGCATAAAAAGATCTTGAATTTTTGTCCGTTTGATAGTCATAAGGGAGTAGATTTAGGTATTGCCCTTGAGAAATGCTTGATTGATTAGGGAATTG